TTGGTGTGGGCGACGTCAGCACCATATGCGGCAAGATCTGAAACAAGAGCCTGCCCCTGGGGACGGACAGCTTGCCATGCATGCCAGGAGTTCCGAATCAGTCTGGCCGCAGTGGCCACGCAACATTTTTTAAGAGTTCCAGGCTCGTGTTGCACAAAGGGCTGCCCTGCTCCCTGCTCCCTCGGCAACAAACTGCGCCGTAGCTTCAGCTGGTTGACTGTCGCTCGGGTCAAGCGACCACCACGCCAAAGGCCCTTGCAAGGCGGACATCTGGCTTGGCCGTGTCCTTTCTGACATCCTGGGCTTGCTGCGGGGGCTTCCAACACGAACTGTCCTTCCTAAGGCTTCGAGATGAGTTACACTTCAGGGGCCTCCATTCTGGAATGGGTGCCAAATAAAAATCCAGCTAGATAGCCAAGTTGCGATCGCTGTTTTCAGTCACTGCTGGTTTTTGGGGTCAAGTGCACGGAAGAAAAAGAAGAAGCCGCGCGATCGCAACTGGCGATCGGTCGGAAGGTGCCAAACCAAAAGGCAACCCACCGCCTTCCAGGGCCACGCTGGGGTGGAGTCCATCACCGCGGCCCTGAACGAGGAGCGCCGCAAGAACGCCCAGGAGGGCGAGGCCGCTTGGGGGTGGGGGTGGGTGGGAAGCACCGCACCCCCTTGCATTTGCCTTGTATATTAGGGTGGCTCGCTTTGTTTTTTTCGTTGGGGGGGGGCGGGACCCGCAGATTGCCTTTAGAATCAATCAAACAGCGGTACTATTAGAAAAAACACCAGCATATTTTTAGTGCCCTTCGGTGAAGGGCACTTGACGTGTTTTTGAATCGACTGACAACTGCCACATTTGATGGGGCCAACCTGGAATGGCCCGAACATGGTGTCTTGAGTGTCAAAGCGTGTTATTTGAGTGTCAGTGGGGGTGCGAATCGAGGTCACCTACCCCTCGGAAAGGTCACTTATGCTAGTGTCGGTGCTTTCCGGGTGAGTGTCATTCGCGTGTCGGCCCAGCGTCGGTCCCCCTGTGTGAGTGTCATTCGCATTCACGTGTCGCTGCGGCTCGATTTGCCCGGACTGCGGAGTGATCTGCTGGGAGGGCAACCCTGAGGGTCTAAGTGCCCTTTAAATAGCGTAAGTGACCTCTTCGATTTAGGACTAAGTGACCTTATTTTCAAAATGGATCATAGCACGCAAAAATGAATCGAGGGCACTGAAAGAAGCTTGCACCCATATACTGTATTGTGTTTGTCCCCTGTTGGCTGAAAGGCAAATCCTATCTTGCTTCCCAGGCTCGTCTCTTTCTGAGGCTCGGTACCCGTTTCAGGGTTGATTTATGCTGTCTGATTCTTATTTTGAGACAAACTCGGGTAGTAGGTCGCCAGGTATTATTGCTCAAAGTTTTACCATGGATGGTGTCCCTTTGTCACATAGTATATTGGTAACACGCATCACTTGGCTTGTTAGACCACTATATGTCTAAACACGCTTACTTGTATTTGGAGTTGTTCACTTACGGAGGTGTCTTGAAATGGCGAACCCATTTGGACATGTGTTTTGGTGGCAACACCAAAAGGAAAAGCAGCCAATTCGGGAGATGACTATTTTGTGTGTCTGGTAGGGCTTGAACGTCTGTTTTGAAGGGACAACAAAAGAACAACCACCATGTTGAAGCTTACTACTCCCTGAGTCGGACTTGATTTACTTTTCGGGATGAATTGAGTGGAGACGCAAGTGGACCAATCCAGTCAGGCAGAACTGGGCCAAGAGGGGCTCTCAGATTCGCATGCGTCTCGACCCGCGGTGGAATAAGTTTTGACCCTTTCCTGTACCAAGGCCGTCCCCTGTAAAGTAATACAGGAAAATAGTCGTTAGTATGGCCCATTTTGGTATGATAGGTTTTGGGCTCTTCAATTTTCAGAGCCATGATTGGACCAGATGGATGTGGCTCAAAAGCAAAGAGCTAGGCTTACACTGGTTTTAGTATTTGTTTCCATTTACCAAGGTGCCATTTTGGGCACCATGCTTGAGATTATTTGAGCCACAGCCAAATGGGTGTGTCAAAGATGGGCCGCTCTCATGTTGGTTGTCCTTTCTATCCCCCTTTAAAGTAACCTCTAAAAGGCTACAACAAAGAACAACTGATCAAACAAAACAAATGTTCAAAATTGAAAAATGATCAAACGTCACATGTTTTTCCACAGGCAAAAACAGCGCGACGTGCCGCGCGCCGTGCCGTGCGCGCTCGGCCAGACCCCTGCGGTGATCAACCCGCGCTTCGTGAAGAGCTCGCCGGATCGGAAGGCCTTCCCAGGCCGATGGGCCAACGAGACTCGGGACTCGGGAGGGATGCGGTTTCCGTTTTTGTCTCATTGAACCCACCTCGGTTCTGCTTGGATACGTGTGAGTTCGGTTGGGTTCCTGGATTTGAATTGGAGAGGTGGTTCGGATGCGAATGGTTTTGTCCGGTTCACGTGGGGGGTGAGTTCGGTTGGGTTCCTGGGTCCAGTTTTCATTGGAGAGGTGGTTGCGATGCGAATGGTTTTGTCCGGGTTGAGTTGGGGGGTTGAGTTGGATTTGGTCCCTAGACTTTGCTTGAAAGGGTGGAGAGAACACCCGTCACCCCGAAAGGAAACGGCCTGATACTTTGGATCGACAATCTTCACAGTGATTGGGAGCGGTTGGGATGCATGAAGCATAGCTATGCTTGGGATAAGCCAGTTGTTTCTTCCCCGCGTGTTGGGAATATGGAAAATCGGATTTGCTAACCCTGCATGTTGATCAGAACAGTATCATTTGGGTGATCCTAAATGGGTTCTAACAAATGGGTTCCTTTCGGGCACACATGACTGTTTTGCGTGCAAGCTGGAACCCATTTGTTGCGCTAAAAATTGAAGGTGTTTGCGGTAAATATACCGACCACTAAAGCATCAACGTTTGTTTATGGGTTTCCCACCAACCAACATAATCCCACGTTGAACCCCCAAACGGGCCATCAACAATCAAAGAGTGAGCTAGCTTTCTGCAGAAAACCCTAAAGAAGGAAGTGGGTAGTCCGAGATCGCCCCATTGGGTTGGCCTTGTTATTGAGGCGACTCGCGCCGAGTGTTTATTTAGGTTGGTGGTCATTTTGGGGCCGAAGGGAATATTGATCAACCCCAATTTGTTGATGGCCGGTTTGGGGGTTCAATGGGGGACTTATGGGGATATCGACCCCCAACTCCCTGAGTTGGACTTAAGTTACTTGTTAGGCCTGGACTGTAGTGACAAGCAAAACATGGTTCTCTTTTGGGGTGAATCCATCCGAGGAAGCGAGTTCGTATTTGGCGATCCTCAGGTAGAACTCTCCTGTTGGTTTCCATGGTATGATTCGGGCTTGCAAGTTCTCAGGAAATGTGGGAATGGGGAAAACCCTCCCCCACCACGGAGCCTTTTTGGAAGTGAAGGTGTGTTTAGCAATATTCCCCACACCGAAGCGCGTTTGAGGGTTGCTGTATCACCCCTGCTGATCACAGGCTCCAATCAGAGAATGTTTTTCCACTGTCTGGGTGCTAGGTACTGTTCCCAAAAGCAACCCAAAAAAGGCTGGGTGACTCTACCTGGAGTCTCCATGACCCTTTAAAAATGGGGTCATTACCCAAAATAAAGGGGTCATGGACCCATTTTTAAAGGGTCATGGAGACTCCAGGTATTTCTTTTCCAGACCGAATGGCGAAAGACTCCCACGGCCATGCTGAAGCCAGGCGAGAAGTGGGAGCTTATCAACTTCCTGCCCAAAGTCTTTCCGGGCTTCCGGGGATTGCCGGAGGAGTCTGCTCGTCGCCTTTTCTCCAGATGCGAAGTCAAGCGGGCTGGAGTGAGCCTGCTTATTCAGTGTGTTTCACCCTCTAAATTTGTATACCAAACATGTTCACCAAACTGGTCCCGGAGTTCTGTTGTGTTGTTCTGGAGTTGAGAAAAGCCAAAACAAATCTGTAAACAAACATGTTTTTGGTTGCCCCACTAAAAATGGTGAAACCCAAAAAGCGTTCCCATTTTTGACCAGAGCCGCTGCCAAACGTTGAAGTGGGAAGGCCGTTGTTCCCAGTGGCATCACGGAAGAGATTCCATTCCCAGCGGCCCTGACGTTGTCATGTGAACACGGCGAACTTGGGATCACGATATAGATTTCTGTTTCGAATGGTTGTGACTTGGAGTGCACCAAATGGTATCTTGTCTTGCGGGGCTTTGAATCCCGGCAATCTCCTGCAGATGCGGCATGGGGGGGGGCGTTGCTCGTTTTGCTTGTCTTCTGTTCGCGTGGTGAATTGTCACAATCTACCCAATTTGCCAGGTAGAAGGAGTTTCAGGATCAGGTGTGGCTTGCTTTGTGCTTGCTTTCCGGGGTTAGCGTAATGATTGGCCCCTGCAACCCCTCAGTTGTTTGCGTTTGCGTTTTTCTGCTCATGTTGCTTTATTGCGTTGTGGCTTTGCACAGGGTTGCAATGGGTCTATGTTTTTGTTTTTTTCTTTTTCGAGTGTGCCCTTTCAAGGTTGGCTAAAATGGAGACCAAGAGGGTGGGCCCCTTTTTTGACATATACCCTACTGGACCCCCATGTCTGTTTGTGTGCTGGGATTCTGCCGCTGTCACTTTCGGACGACTCATTGCTCCAGTGCGACGGTCGCAGAGTCGCTTCGACCAAGTGATTTGCGCTTCCATTAGACCAACAAAGTCAGAATCAGAAAGTTATGTTTCCTGTGTACCGCAGATGTGGGCATTAGAGGCTTTCCAGAATCAGGTATCGACGAGTGCAATGAAGAACACTGGCGCCAAACCAGGTTTTGTTCAGGGGGCTGTTTGTTTGTTTCCATGAAGGCCTGATATCATCCGCTTTTTGCAAGCCGACCCTGATGAGGCGTTTCCCGTTATATAAACCAACCCCGCAAATCGGGGACCCTTTAAACTCATTAAACTGCACACACACACACACACAAACACACGCCCAGCCCACACACTCGTTTACGGAACCAACCCTCGGGCATGCTTTGAGCATAGCCCATAGCTTGGCTCGTGCGCGGCTTTGTGTCCAGGACGGGATCGGACTGTCGGGTGCAAATGTTGCACGGCAATCCGTCGGGGTATCGAACAAGCTATAGTAGGTAGGCGGAAACCGTACATGGTAAAACCTAATGGGAAAATCGGATGAACAAACCTCTTAACTTTTTCGGGGGTGTGTCCCGTTTGGTGGGGTTCATTGCACTGGAGGGTAAGCCCGGTTGAGTCACTGATTCGGAACCCCTGATGCCTGATACTAGTGAGTCTGTCCTTTTTGAGACTCGGACCTTTTGTGGATGGCTTGAAATGAAAACGAGAGAGGAAGCCACCTTGATTGGCGTTCCTCCTATCTCCATTTTCCTTTCAACAACCCCCAAGACGGGTACCGAGTCTCAAAAGAAGCAAAGCACGCTCATATCGAGTCATGTGCGGTGTTCTGCAAAATCCATCTTCAACTAAAAAAGCGGTGTTCTGCAAAAAACATCATCTCCGCAAAAGGTGGCCTTAAAAAAGACAGAGCCCTTTACTGGAGGAGCAGCCCCCCCATTGTTTTGGACCCACCGGGACGAGTCAGGGTTCGGGATCGCTTTCCGATCGAGCTCCCGATGTTCTCTTGGCTTATCTTCACCGTTCTTGGATCAAGTTTAGTTCCATTGCAAGTTTTTGTTTTCCGCTTCATTGTTAGCAGGGGGCTGCAACAAAACAGCTGTTTGTTTGCTTCCATTCCAAGGGTTGTGAAGTTATGTTTATTGATTTTACTTGAGTAAGAGCCACATCAAAAATGGTTGGCTGACATGAAACCGCATCCAATTAATATATGTCCACCAAAAGGTCTCCAGTATATTAAAATTCAATCTCGCCTTGACACCAGCTGATTTTCAGCTTGGGAGCTTCCTCGTGGCATCAACCTTTCATGGGGAGGTTCACCTGAGACGATCCGAAGAAATACTACCCCAGAAAAACTCGGGTCCAGATATCATAAGACTACGTGCATTGTGTAGGATGGGAAACGTTGGTATCAGGGAAGGTAATTCTCAGTTGCCCAAAGCGAATCGACCGGACCGGACTTGTTGGTTTCCTGTTTCAATCCGATAGAACCTGATGTTTCCAGGTCCTTTTGGCAACTTATATTTTCCGCACCGTGTTTAGCCATGTCACACCCCGAGTTGTTGAAAGTGCCTCCTGGTTCCCAGACCAGTCTTGAGTCTTGCAGGCGGCCTGGTGGCGACGCCGGGGCACAGTGATCACGGTGACGAGGCCATGAAGAGAAATGGCAGGCGCGAGGAGTCGACGGGACAAGCCCTTGATGGATGTCGGTTGCCTTGAAAGCGCTGAAGGGGGATCGCTCGTCTTGTTTTTGGGGAAACCCGCATGGATTGTAAGGATTTGTTTGGGCTCCCGAATTTTAAGACACGCCCAATGTTCTTGAGGACTTTGGGTCTGGGTGTAAGGAGGAGCCTGGATCCAAACGACGACTCAAAGGACCTTTTTGCCGAAATCACTTGCAAGGTTCCAATCGGTGAACTATCTTACTATCTTCCTGACCTGGACTTCAAGCTTGTTGGGAAGACCATATTTCAGTGGTAAGCAACAAGTTCAGACTTTCCTACTGCAACTGGTTTCTCTTGTTGCCTTTGACGCCTGGTGAATGGATTCACCAGGCTTTTGATTCAGTTTTCAGGCCATGGTATCAGATACCCCTCATGTAGTGCCGTTCTTGAAGGCACCGCCTTGGGCGTGCCCCTTGAACGGATCTCTGGGGGTGGGTTCTTGACGTTTTTTGTTTAATGCGTTCCTTAATCAAGGTTGCTCCGAGCCCCCAAGAGATAACCCGACTTTGGTAAAACGTTGGCTTGATGTGCGGCTTTCCCTTTTTTATATGGACCGCATCTTTGGTTTGGCAGAAACGTGGGTTTCCATTGGCTTTAGGTCCAGTTTCTTCGGTATCCTCTTTCCAGGGACCTAAATTCAGGGAGCTCCAGATCACACGCTCGACCCAGACCTGCAGTGCCTGCTGCTTTCCTTATTTGTTTGACCCAACTGCTGTGAATTCCCCAAGAGGGGGTGGGTGCAAGAAAGAGAGATGGGTGTTTGAGACAGGATTTCTCTTTTTTCTAGATTTCCTTACCACAGGACTACCTGGAGTCTCCATCACCCTTTGAACATGGTGGCATTGCCCAAAAGAGAGGGGCGACCCCTTTTTGATTCGGGTCAGAAGGATCATCTTGGGACACGCGTCCGGGATCATGAAACTGGCGAGCGATTCCATCAATTCCAAGGGGGGCGCGCGTAACCGGTAACCTGTACCCCTGGTGGGGATTCCATTCTGATTTCAGGTTTTGGAGCCCATTGTAACATTTGCCGACACACTCCTTCCGTGACACAGTTTAGTTTTAGACTAACCCTCCATTCCAACAGTTTCGCCCTGTATCTTCCACATCTATATCTTCCATAGTCATGGTCCACATCTATCTTGGCCCACTCACTTCGGCGCAACAGCTCTTTGTTAATTCTTGTGTCTTAGGATAGGGGACCCCGCAAAATGGGTGGTTGACTCTGTGTCCCTTTAAACATCCCACAAGGGGTACCTGACCTGTTGAAAGTGGGGGTCATTACCCAGAAGAAAGGGATGTCATCCCATGTTTGATTCGGGTCAGAAGGAGACTCTGAGGGTAGAATCTTAGGACAGTATATATATATATATAGGAGGCTAAACCACCCTCCAAAAGGGGTACCCTCAAAGCAGAAACTCCCTCTTTCAATTTTTTTGGTTTAATTATTTCTTTTGGGAAGCCCATTTTAGTGGAAAAGCCCAAGTCTGGACTTTTTGCAAGTGCGGCCAACCCCCCCATTGTTCTGCGCTGAGGCCTGGGGGCAGCTCCGAGCGTTTCCCAGGCATCATTGTCCAGAGCGGAGCATTACGTTGGAGTACCCAGAGACCATGGAGTCTTTCTTGACTTACCTCTTAAAAAACACAACTTTTCAACCTTGTTGGGGCAACATGGGCTATATGTCTGTAAAAGATTAACTTCCCCAGGGCTTGGAGTCTTAAGGGGTAAGTTGAGGGTGCCCCTTTTGGGGCTGGTTTAAGCTCCGTCCCAAGAAATCAGCCGGAGTCGAAGGGCCCGAATCAACCATGGGTTGCCAACTGATTCTTTTGGGTGACCCCATATTTAGCAGGTCATGGAGACTCCAGGTCTCCAGGTAGGTGCGGAGATTTGCTCGTTGAGTTCTTTACATTGGGCGGACCGCGAGATGTATCAGGCTCTATTGTGACTCAGGTGAGCTTCGCTTCACATGTCAAGTCTATGTTGCATTCGGAAGGGACACGCCCAAAGCTGTAGCTGTTGGGGGAACCATGTCCTTGGTGCATCATAGCGGTTTATGCGGGTCAAACACCAACCCAGCAATCAATGGAAGGGACGGACATCACACAAGTGTGTATTTTGTCATCATGAGCTGATTTGGATGTTGATCATTGAAATACCCCGCAACCCCATTGTAATTTTTGAGCCCCTTATAGAATAGTGAGTTACAATGTTTTACAACTATATAATTTTAGCATTCCTTTCACTGGTCTTAGATCACCCCACCACGAACACGAGAGACGCCCGTGCTCTTTGTAGTGTTCCATAGTTATTTGTCGCTTGGTTGGTTCTTCTTTAGGCCGACATCTATATTCTAACAGGGGCAACTTGTTGTCCCTAGAATGCAAACCATCAATCAGGGCTCATTTTCCCAACAACTTAGAACACTAGCACAAAGCATCCTTGTGTTTCTTGTTCCCAGGTCTGAAGTGCCTCTTAGAAGGAACGTTGACGCCTACCCCCCTCCTCAAAGCCATCCTCAAAAGGTACTTGGACTTTCTTCTGATACTTGCATATTGTGCTGAGGAAGAGGAGGAATCTATGCACATATCCTGTCCGATTGTATGCTTCCCTTTAACCATCTTTAACCCACAACAGGTAATGGTGACCCCACATTAATCAGCCCGACTTGATTACTAGTGCGCTTCTCTCCGGGTGCCTGGTTGTTGGACCGAGACCACTTTTGGAGGAGAACACCGCACCCCACCCCCAATTAATAAACTGGGGTTGATGAATATATCATTACTTTTGGAGGAGCCCCCACCCACCCAGTACAAGGTTGATGAATATATCATCACTCTTGGAGGGGCCCCCACCCCGCTATCAAAAATATGGCCGTGGGTCAACACCAATGGTACTATTTTGGGGTAGGCGCACAACTCATTTTCTTCTTACTGTTTTAGTGGGGATTGGGATGTTCACTGGGGGTACGGGGTTTTGACCCATAGCCATATGGGGTCAACACTACCTCCACATCACGCGTTCGAGTTCGGCCACGTCCCGCGCTTAGGCCGCGGAGGCCGCGTCTTTCGCTTTCAACGGCCAGCTGCGGAAGTGCCAGCGGGCCGCGCAGTGGCGAGACGCGTTGCTTCTTCTGCGCCCGGGCGAAGACAGGGGCTGTGGCCATGCCTTCGGGCTCTCAGCTCAGTTGCCCTGTGGTGCCCGTTCTTTTTCAACTTTTTTTGGGAAAGGTTCCCTTCAAACACTCAACCAGCAAAAAAGGATGCCCTTTTTGGGCGCCATCTCTTGAGCTTTTCATTAAGCCAATAGTAGAAAGGCACATATGGCTGGCTAAAAAAAACAGTACCACAATGGGTTGCCCTGGTAAGTGGAAACATGGACCAAAACCTGCGTAGCCCCTCCTGTTTAATTTTGAGCCACACCCATATCTTTGATTAATCCCAAACTTCTTGTTTTGGTAGGATTGACAGCTTTCAAAGAATGAGGGAATGACCCGCAACCGTGCCTAGACTCCCAAGCGGTTTTTTGCACGCAGCCGGCTGAACATGGAACATGTTTCCTTTTTGGTTTTTAAGGGGACCGCTTCCCGAACGTAAGATATAACCAGCTTGCCCTGGGCTTAGAGGAGCCTACCATGTATAGAAGCTTTTCTTAATTGAGGCTTCCTTAGTTCAGGTTTGTGAAGCATAGCAAGTTTGTGTAAAAATTAGGCGCCTTTAAACCACAAACCACACCCCTTAGGGGAAGCCCTTGGAAGAAATATGTTTTTTTTGTTTTTCCCATGCATACGGCTTCCTCCGCCAAAATGAGACCCTAATGTTTCACTTGTGAATATGAATTCCCCAGCATGTAGGCTTGAAAGCCCTGCAAGAACCTGCCGCTTGAATGAGCCAAGTACAGAAGCAAACGAAACGCGGACCCATTGTTGGGAGTATGGCGTTGAACAGCCCGGCCGACCAACCATTCCTGACGAGGATTTGTTGGGTGAACGTGGATGGCAAAACTCCCCCACTTGAGTTTAGTCATCTCCTTTAGCCACATAAATCAGAATTTATGCCATCTACTTTTACCCTGGTGCATGTAGATACCTCCAAAGGGTGGCCATCAATTGAGTGGTTTCCCTTTGGTCTCGCTTCAAACCAACTCCAAGTGAGCTGGTGAGTTAGGGTGGTTGACTTAGCTTCCCCTAAACTGAGCCCTCCATAGGGCTTCCAGCTCCAACGCGATCAACTCCACAGTGAGGCTTGCACCAGCACAGGGGCAAGTAATGATTGCGTACCCTGGTTTACCCCCCAGTTCACCTTAAGCTTACCGTCCTGGGTTGCTTTCACTTTTCCTTTTTATTAGTTCCCAACAGCGATCAGATGTTGGGTTACAATCTCTCTTAGCAGGGTCGAGTGGCGGTGCTTTTTTTGATAAATTTTCAAAATGCAAGGGGGGGGGGGCGCGATCCGGAACGGGGTACGCAATCCGGAACGCGGGGAGGGGGTAGGGGGGTGGCGGTGCTTTTTTATGAGAATTTTTGAAAATGTAAGGGTGGGGGGGGAGGGCGCGATCCGGAACGGGGTACGCAATCCGGAACGGGGAGGGGGTAGGGGGTGGCGGTGCTTTTTCTGAGAACTTTGGAAAATGTAAGGGTGGGGGGGGGGCTCTATCCGGAACGGGGTACGCAATCCGGAACGCGGGGGGGCACGATCCGGAACGGGGTACGCAATCCGGAACGGGGAGAGGGTAGGGGGGTGGCGGTGCTTTTTGTGAGAACTCTGGAAAATGTAAGGGTGGGCGGGGGCGCGATCCGGAACGGGGTACATATTCTGGAACAGGTGGGTTCAGGCGGGGGCGTGGCTGCTTTTTAAGATGTTTTTGAGAATTTGAAAAATGTAAATGGGTTGGAATATGTAAGTGCGGGTGGGGGGGGCAGCAGCTGGGGGGGGGTGGCACTGTACGGGGCCCCCTGAAAATACTGGCTATATTGTGCAAATTCTGGGGTGCTATTCGGGCCTATTCGGGGGTACACATGAACACGTCATGATGCCGGCTGGGCGCGGCCCGCTGCGATGATGGAGCATAACCGCACGGGACAGCAGGTTGAGGTGGCCAGGTAGAGCATGCCCAGGCCCCCAAATTGCGCTGTCTCGGTTGCTGACATTTCATGAATCATTTCTGGTATTTGCTGCTACTCTCCGCCTGCTGCAAACTGTGCGAGGCCTGCAACACAAACCTTCAAGCTTCTACCTGTTGCCCGTCAAAATCTTAAGGGTTTTCGTTTGCCCCAACTCTCGCGCGGAAAACCAACAAGACGCACAACTTGTGGCTGCTTGTAGCGACAACCTGACATGCTCATCAGAAATTAGGGGTCGGAAGGCGACAGCCCAAATCTTGCTCATAGGCCTTTGTGCTTTTGTGGATATGGGTATGAATCTTAATCTATGGTTGCTCAATTTGTGGAGCATTTCAAGACTCATTGATCCATTGTTCTTCACCATTGTGTTGACATGCTGTAGTTTAAAGAATCTTTGGCAAAGGTGTTAACCACCAATGTTGCAACATTTCTTTAACAGGCATGGTTTTCAACAGTTGCGTCAACGTATCCTGACCCATGGAAATTTGCCACCATTCACGTATGCGTATATGGTCTGACCGGGCCCCGGTCAGGCTTGTCCGGGGCCCGGTCTGTACCTAGCCCCAGTCAGGCCCGACTGGGGCCCGGTCTAGACCTGCAGCCTTCTGCAAACTGCACGAGGCCTGCAACACGGCACGGCAAAGATAAACCTTTAAGCTTCTACGTTGGCCGTCAAAATCTTAAGGGTTTTCGTTTGCCCCAACTCTCGTGCGCGTACGCTCACCAGCGATGTCTGGAGCCAGCAAAGCCTTGCAAGCATAATAGCTGAGTCTGAGTAATCTTGCTTTCTATGGGAAAACCAACAGGACACACAAACATGTGGGGCTGCTTGTGGCGACAGCCTGACGTGCTCTTAGAAATTTGAAATTTAGAGGTCGGAAGGCGACAGGCAAATTCTTGCTCATAGGCCTATGTGCTTTTCTGGACATGGGTATGAATCTTAACCCATGCTTGTCACTTTGTGGGGCAACTTTTGGCACCACAGCGGTTTCAAGACTCATTGATCCATTGTTCTTCACATGCTGTAGTTTAAAGAATCTTTGGCAAAGGTGTTAACCACCAATGTTGCAACATTTCTTCAACAGGCATGGTTTTCAACATCGTTGCTTCAACGTATCCTAACCTATGGAAACTTGTCGCCACGCACGTATGGGCCGGGTCTGACCGGGCCCCAGTCAGGCTTGACCGGCACAAAGCACGCTGTCTCGGTTGCTGACATTTCGTGAATCGTTTCTGATAATCGCTGCTACTCTCCGCCGTTCAGGGCCTGACTGGGGCCCAGTCAGGCCCGACCGGGGCCCGGTCTAGACCTGCAGGCTTCTGCAAACTGCACGAGGCCTGCAACACGGCACGGCAAACATAAACCTTTAAGCTTCTTCGCTGGCCGTCAAAATCTTAAGGGTTTTCGTGTGCCCCAAATCTCGTGCGCGTACGCACACCAGCGATGTCTGGAGCCAATGCTTTGCTTGCAAGCATAATAGCTGAGTCTTAACATTTTGCTTTCTATGGGAAAATCAACAGGACACACAACACGTGGGGCTGCTTGTGGCGACAACCTGACGTGCTCAGAAAAATTTGGGGGTTGGAAGGCGACAGGCAAATTCTTGCTCATAGGCCTTTGTGCTTTTCTGGACATGGGTATGAATCTTAACCTATGGTTGTTCAATTTGTGGGGCAATTTTTGGCACCACAATGGTTTCAAGACTCATTGATCCATTGTTCTTCACATGCTGTAGTTTAAAGAACCGTTGGCGAAGGTGTGAACCACCAATGACCCATGGAAACTTGTCACCATTCACGTACGGGTACCGGGCCCCGGTATGGTCTGACCGGGCCCCGGGTCCTGACCGGGCCCGGGTCCTGACCGGGCCTTGACCGGGGCCCGGTTTGGACTGGGCCTTGGTCGGGCTCTAAGTGTACGGGTTTCTGACATTTCGTGACTCGTTTCTGGTAATCGCTGCTACTCTCCGCCATTCAGTGCCTGGCAGGACCTGACTGAGGGCCCGGTCTAGACCTGCAGCCTGCAAACTGCACGAGGCCTGCAACACGGCAAACATAAACCTTTAAGCTTCCACGTTGGCCGTCAAAATCTTAAGGGTTTTCGTTTGCCCCAACTCTCGTGCGCGTACGCACACCAGCGATGTCTGGAGCCAATGCTTTGCTTGCAAGCATAATAGCTGAGTCTTAGCATTTTGCTTTCTATGGGAAAATCAACAGGACACAAAACATGTGGGGCTGCTTGTGGCGACAACCTGACGTGCTCAGAAAAATTTAGGGGTTGGAAGGCGACAGCCCAAACCTTGCTCATAGGCCTTTGTGCTTTTCTGGACACGGGTATGAATCTTAACCTATGGTTGTTCAATTTGTGGAGCAACTTTTGGCACCACAATGGTTTCAAGACTCATTGATCCATTGTTCTTCACATGCTGTAGTTTAAAGAACCGTTGGCGAAGGTGTTAACCACCCATGACCCATGGAAACTTGTCACCATTCACGTACAAGTACCAGGCCCCGGTATGGTCTGACCGGGCCCCGGGTCCTGACCAGGCCCCGGGTTCTGACCGGGCCTTGACCGGGGCCCGGTTTGGACTGGGCCCCGGTCGGGCTCTACCGGTATTCGGTGAGACAGTGTACGGGTTTCTGAAATTTCGTGAATCGTTTCTGGTAATCGCTGCTACTCTCCGCCATTCAGGGCCTGGCAGGACGACTGGGGCCCAGTCAAGCCCGACCGGGGCCCGGTCTAGACCTGCAGGCTTCTGCAAACTGCACGAGGCCTGCAACACGGCACGGCACTCATAAACCTTTAAGCTTCTACGCTGGCCGTCAAAATCTCAAGGGTTTTCGTTTGCCCCAACTCTCGCGCGCGTACGCTCACCAGCGATGTCTGGAGCCATGCAAGCATAATAGCTGACTCTGAGTAATCTTGCTTTCTATGGGAAAACCAACAGGACACACAAACATGTGGGGCTGCTTGTGGCGACAGCCTGACGTGCTCAGAAAAATTTAGAGTTCGGAAGGCGACAGGCAAATTCTTGCTCATAGGCCTATGTGCTTTTCTGGACATGGGTATGAATCTTAATCTATGGTTGTTCATTTGTGGGGCAACTTTTGGCACCACAGCGGTTTCAAGACTCTTTGATCCATTGTTCTTCACATGCTGTAGTTTAAAGAATCTTTGGCAAAGGTGTTAACCACCAATGTTGCAACATTTCTTCACCAGGCATGGTTTTCAACATCGTTGCTTCAACGTATCCTAACCTATGGAAACTTGTCGCCACGCACGTATGGGCCGGGTCTGACCGGGCCCCGGTCAGGCTTGACCGGCACAAAGCACGCTGTCTCGGTTGCTGACATTTCGTGAATCGTTTCTGATAATCGCTGCTACTCTCCGCCGTTCAGGGCCTGACTGGGGCCCAGTCAGGCCCGACCGGGGCCCGGTCTAGACCTGCAGGCTTCTGCAAACTGCACGAGGCCTGCAACACGGCACGGCAAACATAAACCTTTAAGCTTCTACGCTGGCCGTCAAAATCTTAAGGGTTTTCGTGTGCCTCAACTCTCGTGTGCGTACGCACACCAGCGATGTCTGGAGCCATGCAAGCATAATAGCTGACTCTGAGTAATCTTGCTTTCTATGGGAAAACCAACAGGACACACAAACATGTGGGGCTGCTTGTGGCGACAGCCTGACGTGCTCTTAAGAATTTAGAGGTCGGAAGGCGACAGGCAAATTCTTGCTCATAGGCCTATGTGCTTTGTGGATATGGGTATGAATCTTAATCTATGGTTGTTCAATTTGTGGAGCAACTTTTGGCACCACAACGGTTCAAGACTCATTGATCCATTGTTCTTCACCATTGTGTTGACATGCTGTAGTATAAAGAATCTTTGGCAAAGGTGTTAACCACCAATGTTGCAACATTTCTTTAACAGGCATGGTTTTCAACATCGTTGCTTCAACGTATCCTAACCTATGGAAACTTGTCGCCATGCACGTATGGGTACCGGGCCCCGGTGTGGTCTGACCGGGCCCCGGGTCTGACCGGGCCCCGGTCAGGCTTGACCGGCATAAAGCACGCTGTCTCGGTTGCTGACATTTCGTGAATCGTTTCTGATAATCGCTGCTACTCTCCGCCGTTCAGGGCCTGACTGGGGCCCAGTCAGGCCCGACCGGGGCCCGGTCTAGACCAACCTTTAAGCTTCTACGCTGGCCGTCAAAATCTTAAGGGTTTTCGTGTGCCCCAACTCTCGTGTGCGTACGCACACCAGCGATGTCTGGAGCCAATGCTTTGCTTGCAAGCATAATAGCTGACTCTGAGTATTCTTGCTTTCTATGGGAAAACCAACAGGGGGCGATCCGGAACGGGGTGCGCAATCCGGAACGGGCAGAAGGGGGAGGGGGGTGGCGCTGCTTTTTTTCAGTATCTGGAAAATGCAAGGATCTGGTGGCAGACGCGCGATCCGGAATGAAAAAAGAGCATAATGATAAGTTTTCTATTTGCTCCATTTGTGTGGGCAGCATACGTGCTCGAAGTTTGGCACAAGTTGAGGGGACATTTTGTCAAGGGACAGGATTTGATTGAGGGGCTGCCTGGTGTGGAACTGAAATGACAAAAATATTGAAATATGTTTGTTTGCTCCGTTTGTGCGGGTAGCATAGGTGCTCGAAGTTTGGCGCAGGTTGAAGGGAAATTGTGTAAAGGGACAGGATTTGATTGAGGCGATTTCCTGGTGTGGAATGGAAAGGACAAAAACCTTAAGTGTTTTTGTTTGCTCCATTTGTGGGTAGCATACACTGACGGTTTCTTTGGAACTTCCATTTGGGAAATGGTTGCTGGCATATTTTGTGTTTTGTCTTATTGCTTTTTACTTGGAATTCTGCATTTGTTTGGAATGTCCATTTGGGACATGGCTGCTGACATGTTGGGACTTTTGTTTTTCCTCGCTTTTTTTTGACTTCTCGCGATTTCTCGGCGATCCCGAATGTACTGGGCTCCTTTTTGAACTTTCATGTGGGACATGGTTGCTGACATGTTGTTTTTGTTTGTGTTTTTCGAGTTTCTTTGGAATGTTGCACGTGCTGCGTTCCGTTTTGCAAACTTTGGAGGTCCTCGGGTTTCCTTCGGACATTTCCATCAGAATGGAACTGTCCCCTACTATTGGCAATTCTTGTTTTTTTCCAAGACTGAACCTTGGATTTAGTGTGTGTTTTGGATTTGCATGTGGGACATGGTTGAGCTACATGGCCAATCTGACCCTCACTGTTGAAACAATCAACATTCATTTGGCTAAGCTCCGGGCAAGTGTCTGAAGATAGTTGTTTGATTTTCATGCATGTTGTACGAAGTTTATACGCGTTGCCGATGCATTGTCTATGCATGTTCTATGCACGTGTTCATGCATATTTTGAAAAAGCGCATAGAAAGCGCGTAGAAACCCAGGGAAAGTGCATAAGAAATACGTAGATAATTCATAAGAGTCAACGATGCATAAAAAGTGCATGCACAAGTGCATAGGACATACATAGAACATGCATAGAAAACGCGTAGAACACGCATAGACAATTCATAGAACATTCATTGACCAACCATGCGTAGAAAACTCAGGACATTCATGGAAACATACAAAACACAGGACATTCACATAGGTTCTAGGATGTATTGAGGGCTGCTACATGACAGACATGCACGCACCATGTGCTCTATAAATTTGCTGCCAACGGCATGGGTGCATTTGCGAACTAAGAGGAGGGCCAGCAAATGTACAACAACCAAGGACCGCAAGATTCAATTTCAACAGGTGGGAGTCTGAGATTAAGCCTTGGCAATTCTAAAATTTAGAATCACCAGTGCTAAGTTAAGTACTGGAAACCGAAGATTCAGTCTCGGCAATACTAAGTTTAGGTTTGGCAGCGCTAAACTAAGTTCTGTAAATCTAGGAGTAAGTCTTTACAATATCAAATTTAAGTAGGGGACAGTCCCATTCTGGGACATTCGCATGAAAACTCGAGGAATTTCGAGGACGGCTAAAAAATCGCAAAAGAACGCAGTAAATGCAAAATTTAACAAGAAACAAAAATGAAAAAAACAACATGCCAGCAACCAATTCCCAAATGGATCTCGTTTGAAGCTACAAGGTGCAAACTCAAAAAAAACATGAGCACTCAAACACATGAGAAACAAAAACACAAACATGATGAGATTTCGAGTTTTCCTGTTTTCTCCTTGAGTTGTCAGGTTTTTGCGAATTTTCGGGTTGCTGCTTTTCCGGATTTGTCGCGCCAGTTGTGTTTTCCAGATTTTGTGCATTTTTGCGTTTTTTGTTGAATGTTTACGCGTTGCGTTTGTCGTTCAAATGTTTATGTGTTTTTTCCGGATTTTGAGTTTTGAATGTTGGTTTGTGTTCTTTGAGCTTTCGCGTGTTTCGCACTTTTCGATGTGTTAAATTCACAATGTTTGCCGTGTTGTCATTGGATGAGCCTTGGCATTTGCAAGTTTCATCCCCAATGCCACCCAATTACACGTTACTATGCTTAAGTAAATACTATAGCAGTCTATTTGTTCGTAGCATACTTCCTACGGAGGGCCTGGACGTTTCGATGTTTCATGGTTTTGTTTTTTCCTCGGTTTTAACAAAACACACGGCGACAAAACAAATGGAATTTCCCCACAAACCCTGAGCAAAGGCAAGTTCCCAGGAAACCTCGATCGAGAATTCACAAAAACCCAAGACACAACAAAAAAACAACATGTCGCACCACAGCAATAGGAGCGAATGACCTGAAACGGAATTAAGTATCACGGGCCATGTAACTTGCAAACTGTGTTCATGTGCATCCATGTGCCCCACACACGCTCACAGCCTGCCAAAAGCGATTTCCGTCAAATTTCCTCAAAAGTGTACATTGACGTTCTTTTTCTGCATGTACGGAAATTCCAGTACTTTTTGGAGGGCTCAGGTTGAGCGCAGAGCCTCCTAACGTATTTCGGCAAAGTTCTTGCCCCGCGTACCACCTACCCATACCTACCCCACTCAAACTAGCAAAAAACACGCGTTTCCGCTGTTCCTTGGAAATATGTGATTTCCGCTCTTAACTGTCAGCTTTATGCGCCAGGCGCATTGCTGCAAGCGCTACCAAATTTGATGCAACAGGGCGCTGAGTTTAGTGGCAACTTCCTTGGCTAGGTTATGGTGTAGCTGTGGGGTTGCACTGCTGGGTTAATCCTTTTTATTAGGCCGCCCAAACCTTGTGTCTAAGTCGGACCCAGTTTTCTCCATTCTTTCCTCACGGGTGTGCGTGTGTGTGCGTTTGTTGTGTTGTTTTGTGTTGTTTTGTGTTGTTTTGTGTTTGTTTGCGTTTGTGTTTGTATTTGTGTCCCGCCCCAAAAAGGAAAAACGGGTCGCTCAAAAAAGACGAGCTGCGTTGGGGCCGTTGTTTCCACCACCAGGCACCGGATGTGGTGCGACCGAGGCGCGGCCATGGAACCGTTCGCCCGGATGTGGTGAGCTTCAACACGGTGGCAGCCTGCAGGAGCGGTGGCGGTTTGGTGGTGGGGGTCTTTTTGCCATTCGTGGAAAATGATCGAATTGAGGGGGGGGGTCGCCGATTCCAACGATGAAGGAGATTCCTATTGGTGGGGGTCTTTTGCCCCCTCGAAGTGAAGGATTCCTATTTGAGGGTCGCCATGGTTTCCATGTGTCATGGTCAAACGACCGGTTCCTTTACTTGGTTAAGGATCCTTAAGAACTCTTGCAAGGAATCGTTAGGAATTTTGGCCATGGCACATATGGGTGTCTGTTTCAGGAAAGCCGGGTTATGGCCTGTGTTATCTGCAAACAACAGGCATCCTCGGCGGATTCACTTAGGGCTACACGGTGTCCTTCTATTTCCGCGGCAGTTGCAAGCCACACCCGTAGACTTTTTCAGCTTTTGAGCTTTTAGTGCAAGAAAGCGCACATGTCCCACGAAGTGTAAACAACTTTTGGCAAGGGATCAACGTACCTGGGGCTTCAAGGACCACTAAGTTCTTCCCCCCCCCAGAAAAGAATAAAAACACAATAATAAAGACACATGAAACACTGATTGCTGGGGGGGCATCAGAACATGGGATGCTGGGATTTTGCCCTTTGACTTGAGCGCATCGTGGCCGTTGCGTTTGAGTCCTCCAGGATGGGCTGGCGCCGCGTGCTGCGAGTGCTTGGATCGGCGCCCAAGCCAGACGTGGTGAGTGACTTGGCCAGGGGAGAGTGAGACCTTGGGCTGTGGAAGGCATCTGGAGGACTTAGGGACCTGGTGCTCGGGAACTTGGGGGTCCCCTACTAGGTCCCCCAGTAGTGCCCTTTTACCAACTTGTTTGGTGGAGGTACCCTTTTTCTAACCTCTCTACTGGAGGACCTAGCCTAGGAAACCACCAGTTGGATGGTTTACAGGGGTCATTCCAATTCTCATTCCAGCCAGCTTAAGGACCTGCGAGTAACGTTTGGGGGAGGTAACAACTGACCTGAAAGATGATGGGGTCTTTGCCCAAGTGCGCTCCGGAGTGGTTCGGAGCGGCTGCGGGAAGGGGTTTCGGAAAGGTTCCGGGAGTTGCAGTTGCGCTGTTGGGGATACCGCCTGAGCTTAGCTTCAGTAGACTAGAAGTGATGTAGTAATCTCTGCGCCTGAAGTTCAGGACATGGATACTGCATATGATAGCTTCAAGGGACGGGTGAGGAGAAGAGTAGGGCAAGCAGAACATGGGTAGTCGGAGATGTCCATGCCCCTTAATTGGCTCATTGCCCAAAGATACAAAGGTCATGGCCCCATTGTTCAAGGGTCATGGAGACTCCCATGGGCCTTGTTGAAGTTTGAGGCTTCAACACGGCCATCAGCTGCTCGTGGCACAACGATCTGCTTCTCGCGGACATGGCCTGGCATGGAGTACTGCCGAACGTGGCGTGGCGGCAGTTTGGTCTCTTCTCCACGAATTTCAAGGAGCGCGGACAAGGAGGATTAGACGAGCCCTGATGCAGGTCTTCGGGGATTCCCTTGTTGTTTGTACTTTGTGAATCATGGTAATTCGACCAAATTGTGTTGGACCCGTCACAACAAAAAGAAACACCGTGCTTCCACTTAATATCGAATTCAACCGAGTATTTCCAGACCTATTGAACAGATCACCAGGTCAAGCACATGGATTTGGCGAGTGTCCTTTTCAGTGAAACCGTGTCTCGTTCCCTGCCTGGTCGCCGGAACCGAAACCTTTACTCAGAGTGCGGAATCCGGGTCTCAAAAGTGGAGAGACCCCCCAATTGCCAGAGACTTAGCTCGCCGCTTGCCTTTTGTAGTTTTTTGGTTGGGTTGGGAATTTCATGTTCCATTTGAGCCAGAAAAAACCAATTAGTTCTGTCATTGTATGGGTTCTAAATATTGAATAGCACGTTTTTTTTTGTTTTTCCCCCCAGAACCTTGAATGTGGATAGATGTGCGTGGATCTGGCAACTTCTAGTGTCGTCACTAGACAGGGTCCTTCTTGATGTTGCTCTTGGTCGACAGAGGACAATCAGCCAAATCGCCTGCTTTTTCAGTGTTCTGGAAGATGCAATAATGTGCCCATATAGATAACATACGTACATTTGCAGTTTTTTCTTTGTGTATTTTCTCCTGTTGAACAACATATTTAGTTTTTTCAGGGGGGCAAACACCTCACATGGAGGGACATACTTTCCTATGTGGGAAATCATATATTTTTTATCGTGGTTTCCGCCAATGGTCATCCTACGCTTGCCGGACCTTTTGATCAACCCCCTATCGGTTTTTCCATTTTTCGGCGCATTCGGAGCAAGGCCGTGACTTTGAACACGGCGCTTCGCCAAACCCGGCGATGGCGATCCGCGCTGCTCTTCTGCGACGCAGCGCAGTGGCGGCGCCTGCGCCGCGACGCGGCTCGGACTCGCGGCGGGTACCTTGCTGGTGCGATACGTAAGGAATGGGTTGGAACGAACCTGGGGATTCCCGAAGGAAGGACACCAAATCGGGGATGGTTTATCTTGGGGTCATTCCAATTCTCATTCCCTGCTGAGCACCCTGAAGGATGAAAGTAGATCGGGGTTGAGCAAAAGTCCTTTACATGGGACGACCATTGGTTGGAAAATACCAAAAGATATGATATGTCTCATTTAATTGGAAAGTGGCCCATCGTCATTGAATTGGAGGCCAAACGGAATATTGATCAACCCCCAAATGGAACTGATCCCATGCTTTTAGCATCAACGTCACCCCCTAAGTGGCAGGTTAAAGGCAACCCATCCCGATTTCTGTTTGTGATCACTTCCAAAACCAGTCGAAACGGTGACCTGAGTAGTACAACTCCCTTCTGTGGGCAATTAAAGAGGATGACTAAAACAAATGTTTTAATCTTTTGGCCCCTCATCTCAGTTGCCCAAAGCCGACCTTTTGACCTTTTGGTTTTCCTGTGTTGGTCCATATTTATTCAAGACCCCAAAAGCTTAACCTTTTATTTCCAGGCCCTTTGGGCAGCCGAGTCATATGAGCCACAATCAAGACCCGGGTAGATGGAGGTTAAGGGGCAGTCCCAGCCAGAAATAGTTGCGGATATCCGCCTTAGTTCTTTACATGGTTCTGGGTAGACCGGGTTTTGATTGTGACTCACATGAGGTTTGATTCAATCAACATGTGCAGTATAGGTCCATTTGGAAGGGACGTCGGGGGAAATGCTAAATTTCCCCACAAACATCGCCGGCCATGGAGGGGTCTCCGGCTTTCGGTTCTGCCCTTCGGCACCCGGCGCTCCCTTTTCGGCTTTTGGCTTGAGGCGATCACGGCCTCGAGCTGCGCCAAAGCATGCGCAGAGCGGTGGCAGGTGCGCGCCAGTGGGATAGATGGATCAATACGTGCTGGTGCGATAGGCAGGGAATGATCTGAGGGTGGAATTGCATACTGTTGACCCAGGATTAATAAACCCTAAACCCATTATTAGGGGGGTGTTCCCTCCAAAAGTGGTCTGAATCCCCATTAAAAGGGGACACCCCCCTAATAGTCAACCAAATCCAGGGTTAGCATTACTCCTGGTTCATACCTCTTGGCTACCCTGGTTTCCAACCCACTTTATTTGGGACTTTCTATATATATATAGGGGAGAGGGGAACATCAGAGGCCTTTTGGGTTCATTTGCCCACGGGGTATGTAAAAGGCGTATGCGCAAACACCGCTGGGAATGACAAATGAATGAACCCAGGCTTTGGTCCCCAAACAAAAACCACCAGTTGGATGGTTGATAAGGGTCCTTCCAATTCTCATTCCCCGCTGAGCAGCAAGAGTATTCCAACCTAGTTTGCTTGAGGCATCCCGTTTGCTTCACAAGGAGTCCTACCCTCTGTTTTCAGGGTGTATTTGCTTAGGGCTGGGATTAGTGGGGGTTTGAAGTTTGATTCCCTGGTTCTGGGTCAACGGGACACTCGCGGTGTTTTTGGTTCTCGATAGTTCTGACTTCCGGCAGGTTGCAGACGAAGTGCTGCTTCGCATGCGGCTTTGCGACCTGCCTACAATTTGCATCCGCAACTCGGCAGACCTTGTGGGTTCTTTAAGTTTCTGGGCGCTTTTGCAGTCCGTAGATGAATTTACCCAGAAGGAAGCCCCAAGGAGACCGAAGGAAGCCAAAGGAAGTATGTAGGTGTATCCAGACACCCCTTTTTGACACCTAGTGTTTGATCGCCTTTCGGGTTTCGGTGGCTAACGTCCCGCTTTGAAGTTTGAATGAACGATGACTCAGCCCGAAAATCGAGTGGTTCCTATGGGCTACATACAAGCAAAACAAAGCAATTGAGCTCACTGAAGTTTGGTTTGGCCATTTCCTCAAGTTAGTGTTAGCTTCCTTGTTTCCCAGGAGAATCACTTGGTTTCGGGTCATTTGTTTCACTTGGTTTCAGGTCATTTGTTTTCAGGAGAGTCACTGGGTTTCACACCCTCACGTTTTGTTTCAGTTTCATTTGTCATGTGAGTGTGAAACCCAGTGTCAGGCCGTTTTTCGGGAGAGTCACTTTTCAGGTCACCCTCACCGTGGTGTGGGTCTGAGGCACCGGAAGCTGGCGCCGGAGCCTGGACAGGCGCGCTTCGGTTTTCCTTCGCGCCGCGGAGAAAACGGTTAAACCGGGAGCTACGGCGGGTGCGGCGGTTTTGGCCCCCAAAGGCCCGGATTTCGGAGAGGGATGCAAGAGATTTTGGGGTGTAACCAGATACAAGGCCAGATATTTCCAGAGATTTTGATACATTTTGGGGCCCGCTGCCGCGACAATTTCTCGGCTTTCCCAGTAGTACCCAAATTGGTCAGAAAGGTTGCAACAAATCGAGGCGTTCCGTGTCCTTACGCGGGGCTGATGCATATAGCTCCTGACTTGCCTCAAGCAAATCGATCTTTTCACCTTTGGGTTTCCCCGTTTGGGTTCATAGAATCAAGGTTCCAAAAGGTGGTTGATTTCTGGGTCCTAACTGGGCAACTGAGAACTCTTAACCCCGGAAAAAGAGGACCTTCACAGGAATGGCCTCCCTCTTTTTCAATTCACAGCTGGTTTGGTTGACACCTCCCCCCCTGAGACTTTCGCCCCCCGACCCAAGCACCACCCCCCCAACACCCCAAACCCTGCTTGGGCAGGGAGTCGGCCATCTATGAGAGCTGCAAGGCATCCTCTTGGCGCCCGGTGACTCGGCCGCGGCCTTGTGACCATTTTGGGCCTTGTGACCCCTCCCCCGTAAAATGGAATTGGGGGAGGGGTCGAACAAACAAACAAACAAACAAACAAACAAAAACAACTGAACTTATGTGCCTACTCTGGATAGACGGAAATTGCTTTATCCTATTAATCATATGTATATATATATACATACACATACGGGCTTCGCCCATCCCGCTGCCACAGTATCTCACAGGGCAGTACGCACCCCTTCAAGGGCATTTCCAGATATCAGTTTTGGAGGTAGGGAGGTTATGTACCATGACATACATAAGGGCTATACACTGTGTTGTATGCTTTAAAATTGCGATAATCTGAATATAACATACATGCATCCATTTTCCATGCCTCTAAAGTCAAACCTCGAAATGAGCTTGAGCCTTGTGTCCACCCTCAGAAATGGGACAACCATTCAATCAAACAGGGTTGGTAGATCAATGCAAGGAACCTTGCGTTCTCCTGCAAACTATATTATGCATAGTGTCGACATAGTAAAATTATCCTTATCACCCCCCCCCCCCCCGCCACTGCTTTTTGGACCGTATTTGGGAGATTGGACATGGGGAAAAACAGTTGTAAAACAGTTATTAGGGGTTGCTGGATAATATTTGTTGTGTACCACAGATGTGGGTTAAAGTCGGCAAGTGTAGCAGTTCGGTCATTTTGAGCCTATAGTCGCAAGGACCTCGCCCGTGCACTTTGACGTTTGATGGACCGCCATGCACGTTAAACTCTACGGTGTCAACAGAAGAGCAATGTTGGCTTCGGATTACTATCTATGGAGGACCCTACCAGAGGAACCCCCAAAAGGAAGATTGTTTTCCTTCTGAATGGGCAGCCTCTGATTAGGTCGGAGGATACTCTCTTTCCAGCCCTCATGTCAATGCGCAAGAGGATGGTAGCAACATATTCCTGTCCACTTCCATGATTGTTGCGAGGCCAGATTGTTGAGTCACTGCCCACAGTTTCCTTAAATGTATGCTGATTTTCCGTGGAGCGAAGTTGAGAAGGGGGCGGCCAGGCTCCTTAAACGTGTATAGTCTTGCTGGTTCTTGGTTGGACGGACCGCAGATGAGTCGGAATCAAGGCTTCAAGTCACCTGTTCATTGCCAGACTTACCTAGGCCTTTTTAGCCGTTTGCCTCACTCCCAGAGTAGAGTTGGCTTTGCACTTGGTGGGTTTGCTTGCCATTTTAGTGGTAGACAATAAGATCGGCGACTTTTTCTGGCCAACTTCAATCGGACCATTGTTTTTTTCTCGGGTTTTCCACCACTTGACCGGAAGTGAGTTTTTTCTGGGCGTTGCAACCGTTTCCGTTAAACTCAAAGGCACAAGATGCACAAGCATAGCCATGACCATTTGGCTGGTGCGATAGGTAGGGAATGTGGGAATGAACACAGGCTTTGGTCCCCCAAAGGACACCATTTGGTCAGACTCCGTTTCTTGGCAGTTATTGGGAAACCAAGGGGGTTTTCCGTATTAAACCCACACAAGGTTAACCACTTTTTGCGTGTTGGGGTCGTTGCAGCAGCCAAGTTTTCTCCTTCCCAGTCTCTCGAATTGAGGCCTTGGCGCTGCTTCGGCGCTGCGGCTGCCTGCGGGCCCAGGCGAGAAAGCGCCAAGCCCAAGGGAAAGCCCCGCCTTTTTTTGAGGCAACCCCTACAAAACATGGGTCAAACTGCCTATAGGGATTCCTCCATTTTGTTGCTTTTTTTTAATGGTTTCCCTTCAATCCCAAGGTGAAATGGAACACGCCTATGTATGGGAATGCTTGATTTGCTTGCAATGTTTGGGGAATCCACCGAATTGCTTTCTTATTTTTCCAATTTTGCTGGTTGGTAGAGTAGATGGTGAACAAATGTGGTTCACTTTGGCACTCCTGCAAACGTTGTTATATGTCATCACTAGTTTCATGTTACAATTGAACCTGTTGGGTGCTCATTTGGGGGCCCCCTCGATCTTGGGTGATATCCGACCCATACCTTTTAGGACCCCTCCCAATGGTTGGGGGGCCCTTCCGAAATCCCGTCAAACAGTTGGGATTGAGTGATTTGGGCGTTTCTTGTCTCAAAATAGGGAAGCCCTATAGGTGATTTCCCTTCGGTATTTGTTTTAGACACAACCCCAAAACAGGGTTCGCGAAAAACAACCACACACCCATGCGATTCTCACCAGGACACATCGTGCTATCCAGTTTCATGTCAGAGATTCTGAGCCAGCCTTAACACGTTTAAATGTGCATGTTAGCAGTTGCGCTCTTTTCGCACTTTCAAAGTGGGAATCCACAGGCGAGGCCAGGGAGGTTGCGCCAGGTAAGAAGGTAGTAACTCCTGTTCTGCATACCCTAGTGATGCCGAATCTGTGAGGTAAAAACAATGCCAAGCCACAATCCTCGCGGTGCAAGGGGCCTCTTGTTGAAATGCCAAAACCATCCAGCACCTGGAGTAGCGATGACACAGTCTGCCTTTCGAGGATGGGAGGGTACAGCACACTGCATTCAACACCGTTTGCAGGTATGGGTTTGGGAGGTATGGAGGCTTACTTATATATAAATATATCACCTGTAAGCCAATATATATATATATATGCCCCTTAAAGTGGTATACAACCTCCACAACTCCAAAAACTGATATATCTGGAAATGCCCCTGAAAGGGGCAGGTGACAAACCCCCAAAGTCTATGCGCGAGCGTGTCTCGTTTGGAGTTGGTACCGTTTGTCTGTGAGTTGTGTGGGGGGACACCAAAATAATGTTCACAATGTTCACAGGTCCGGGTCCCAAGAAATGACACCCCCAAATAGGGGAACCACCCGGATTGTCGATTTTCTTTCAGTTTCCCCTGTTTGGTCCCACAGTCAAGGTTCCATTTCTGTCTCCGAACCTTGCAAGTGAGATCCCATGGGTTTCCTTTTGTTTCCAACCCAAAAGGGTCCAACCCAAAAGCAAAAAGGTCAGACAGACCTTCACACCCACCCCAAAAAGGCGGTCCAACCAGAAAACACCAAGGGCACTCCCAAAGTCTGACAGTTCTGACAGTTCCCCGCTTCATTCATGGTTGTTGTTGGGAAACACTTTGCATTTTTACCTATTGTGGTTGAGTAGTTGAAATCCAGCGACTTGACTGCTAAAATGTTAAAAGTTTTGCTTCCCCCTCCGAGGTGAACCAAGAATAAATCAGGTCTAGCACTTTCGCCAAAGTCTTACTAGCAAAAAGAGCTTTGTGCGTTGGCTTCGGAGACAATCTTCAAATTCACAAAAAGGGGGGTCCAGCCAGAAGACACCGAAAGTCCCTGACAGTCCCCCGCTTCGGCCGCGGTTTTTCTTTCGCGCAGGTGGCGGCGATGAGTTTCGGGGCGCTGGCAAAGAGCTCCTGGCGCCAAGGGCTGCTCCTCCGCCAGGCGACGGGCGCCTCGTCGGCGCGGGAGGCGGCCCTCTGGCGGCTTTTTGGAAGGGAAACCCAGCAAAGCACCAAAGCGCCCTTTTTGGGGGGGTCAGGTTCCCAAGAAATTCGGAGCCATATGGGTAGCTGATCTTTTTTCTTTCTGGAGTTGGTTTAAAGGGAAGCAAAAGGAACACCGCCATTTTGGGATGCGCCTTTTTTTTTACGGGAATCGGACCCCTCCAAAATGGCGCAATGGTTTCCTGTGGTTTCCCCGCAAAGCCAACCCAAAAAGCATATGGGTACTGAGCCTCAAACACAGACCCACATGGCAAAGCGTTTTAATAGTTGGAAGTGGTTGGTGGACAGAAATACGAATAATGTCCACGAAAGGGTCCCGCCCCCCCAGGAAAAAAACAACACTAGAATCACTAGAACATATGTTTTAGAAGGCTGCTAGATTTCAAGAGTTGTAAGGGAGCTGGTTCTACTCACGAAGGCTGGTTTTTTTTGATGGAGTCAGAAGTCATCTTTTGGACACCGGCCACCCGCCGTCTAGCGTCCCACACCTCGTTCGTACGTGCAGATGGATGTTGAAGGATCTCCCCAGGTCGTTGTCGGCGTTTCGGCGTGCGTCTTGGAGCCGAGCCATGGGAACATCGAGCGGAGCAATAAGCGACCTGAAAGGTTTGGCGGAAGGATTGTCTCTGGCGGGCTCGCCCTTGGAACCTCCCCAGTTGGTCAGCATGGGCTGGAAAGTGGGGCAGAGCTTTACAGCTGCAGATGACCCAGATCGCATGGAGTTGCCATGGCGAGCCCCCAGCTTTCTGCAACGGAAGGATCCCAAGTTGCAATGCACCAGCTGGGAACCTTTGCCGATTCCAGAAGGGCCCGATCGCCTTGCAGGGGTCGTGACCCTTGACTGCTCTTGGATTGGATCTTTAGACTTTTAGCTTTGTGGGAAATCAAGGGATTTTTTCCTCTACACCCCAAAGAGCTTAGCAATTTGCGTCAGAAACCAAGGACCGGAGTGCTGGATGAAGATGACTGTGCAGAGCTCATCACTTGCATCAACCAGAAGGGTTTCACCCCAGCCTTGCTGAACATCGGTGGAGGTCGCCAGGTCCTTGATCCCATCGCTCGGGATGGGCACCGCGCCATTGTGGATAGCCCGGAGCTCAGCGGATGGCTCTTGGAGGTGCTGCTCAGCTGTGTGGCACCAATTATTTTTCCCATGTTTTTGGGTGGCTGCCCCACTAAAAATGGTCTTCCCCAAAAAGGGTTCCCTTTTTCCGAGTCACTGAACTGAGGCTGAGGCCCCATCTGCCTCCCAGCTTCCGCCGCGGTCGGCTGGTGGACCTCAACGAGCGCTGCCGCGTGCTGTGCTACCTGCCGCAGCAGGAGTTCCCCGCCCACTGCGACGGCACCTTCCGGCGCGCCAAGCCGGATAAGCGCGCGGGGGATCGGTCCATGATCACGGTGCAGCTGTACCTCCATGATGTGGCAGAGGAGAGTGGAGGAGGTACCGCCTTCTTCAAGGACTCCGGAGAGCTGGTGTGCAGTTATCAGCCAAAGGCGGGCAGCGTATTGATCTTTTCTCAAAATCTGCTTCATGAAGGTTCACTGCTGAAACAGGGCTTGAAATACACCCTGCGCACCGAAGCAATGTACAGAATGTAGAGAGCCTGATGGCACGCTTCTGGAGATGTACAGCTTCCCGACCTTGGATAAAGTGGCTCGGGGAGGGCACTGTGCAGTGGTGCAAATCGATTTCTCTTGAGTTCTGAATCAGAATGTTTAGATTCTGCAAGTAGATGAATCAACTGGCCATTCGAACACATATTGTATCATACATATACCGTACATATATATAATCTTAGTATACATATTACTGTAAGACAAACCGATGATACTCCTTTTCCATGTCAGAATCCAAGGCATCGCGATCGCTTTGTGTCTTGAACATTCACTCGTCACTCTGATTTCATGACCCCTGACTTTGCCGGAAAGCATGGGGGGGTCCTATGCCGTCCGAAAGTTGGGCAACTGGGCAAGCCGAAGCAAAGCATGGCGCAGGAATCCGCAGGCAAGTGGTGCACGGCTCGCTTTGGAGTAGAAGGTAGGCTCCTTGCTTACCCTTGGATGAATCACCTGTCAGCTGCATTGAAGAATCCCAACCCTCTCCAACCTCAATTCCACAATCCGAGAATTGATATGCACCAGCAGCAGCGGGAGCCCTCCGGAAGAGGCTGGCCTCAAGGGTTTCCCCCAAACTTGGCACCTGGCAGGTCCTGGTTCCTCGAAAAAGGAGCCTCGGGTTGGTTCCATGTCGGACGAACAAGATCGTTTCTTGGAGATTCGAGGAGAAGTGCCGTACGAAAACAAGGTGAAGGTGTCCGGAGGCGTGCTCTCTCAGCCCCCAAGAACACAGGTGTGGGGAAAGACCGCCCTTGCCATGTGGAAATGTATGCCTTAAAGGCAAGTGTTTTCTCTGTTTGGAGGGCTTCCCTTGATATCTTTCAACCAAGGGTGCCAATTCTTCTTGTCCATTGCCCCGAGCCCTTTCATGATACCGATGAGCATAGGAGCCCCTAAACAGGTCAGTTGATACCTTACAAAGTCTGCGGACCTGGGAGATCGCCAAGCAATCCGCTGCCAGTCTGTGTTGTAGGTAAGGATTGAAGCGAAACCACAAGGAGAACCGAAAATCCATGGCTCCCAGTGGATTTTCGTCACAATTGGAAGGCGTTGGACGACCTGGCCTGGAATGCCTGGCTCAGCGATGCTCACTGGACTCAGGCAACTGGGAGTTGAAACCGGACAAGCTGGAATGTAAAACAAAACAAAAAACACAAGATTTCTTTTGCCAAAAGGCTCCGGGCTACTGCCCGAGCTTTTACAATGAAGCTACTTGAGGGCCCTTGAAGTGTCCCGGAGAGGGCTCGGACCCTCTCTAGAAGGGAGTTGGGAATCTAAGCTTATGATCCCAGAGGGTCCCTTGGTACCTTCTAAGGAGGTACTGAACGACCCCTTTTAGCCCCCGAAAGCCATCCTCATGAGGTACCAAGGGACCCGGGATGTTGAGTGGCAACAGCTGAAGCAGGTGTTCCTTTAGGTTGGAAAACAGATCTCCGTCCCGGATGGGTTGACTCTCGGTGGCAGCTGTTCGCCGTTTGGGTCCAGGTAACCCAATGCCAAGCCTTCCGCTTACTTTTTGTCTCCTTTGGCTGGAAACCTGTTCATCACTCCCTGAGTTCCGCTTCGGATTTGGACTTTTGTAGACTTTTGGGGACTATTCTAGAAACAAGTTTAGTCTTGTTTTGGCTAATGAACTCATGTGAGGTTCAAGCTTTCAAAACAGGTTTTGAACCAGCGCCGTTCGAGTATGAAGAAACACTCTTTCCGCTTGGATGTTGCGCCTTTCAAGGGAAATCAAAACGCCGTTGCCGATTAACATACACATGAGTCTTCATTTTGTTTTCTTAACAGGTATCCAAAGGGGACATGAATCACATGACCCCAGGTGTCTCCAAACTCCGGGCCAAACAGCCATAAAAAGCCAAGCCTCAGGTTGAACCGATTCGATGGTTCACTTGAGCCACAAGAAAGTCCGGGTAGATGAACGGAAGGGAGAGTCCCATCCAGAATGGAGGGAAATATCCGGCCTTTTGGTCCTTAAGGTGGGTTTGGATGGTGCCACTTTGACATCTAGGTGTTATTGGTACACATGGCTATGGTGTTGTTTTGAATCACTCAAAAGCGGTTGGTGGGCCCCAACGAATTAGTATACATGCCCGCGTTCCGTTTGTAGATTGCTTTGAAAGTAGAACCCAACAATTGCCCTGAAAAGTCAACCACCTTCAAGCTTCCCAGCTTTGGCATTGCGGGGCCCCTCGCAGGCTTTGCAGCATCTTGTCCTGTCGCCCAAAAAGGACATCGTGGCCTTGAGCAACTTGGCACGTGTGACTCGTGGCGGAACTCACACAAGGCCACCCAGTCCCAGTGCTGCAGTGCTGCGGGGTTCCCTCTAGAATCAACTACCAACAAAGATGATTCCTTTCATGGCGACTTGGGTCCGGGAATGGGTTCCTTTTCCTTGCTTCACACACGATTGGCGCAAGCGAACCTGTTTCAGGGCCCCTGTGACTTGTTTGGTTGTTCAATACCTTGGCACTTTGGTGCTTTGGTACTTCGTGATTCAGCAGTGTGTTTGTTTCTTCTGTTTTACTTTGGGTGGCTTGGTACTTTTGTTCTTCGGTTCTGATCATGTTTATGTGGTGGTTTGTAAGGCAAGCACCATTGTTGCCAACGTGCGGAGCCTTTTGCACTCCGCGCGGGTCTTGAACACTGAAGGCCCAACTGCCAGGTTGCTCTCCGATTCCAACCTCGAAGTTGTCAAGTTCGGTCGGATTGTTTTTTGCGTTGCCCATGGGCCATTTGAGAGGCACCAGGCGGACGAGTTCTAGAGTTCTCAAGGAACTTGGCTGTGGTGTCAAAACCGTTTTGGGATCGATCCCATTTTGGGGTTTTCGGTGCACCACCCATTTTAGAACCTATTTTAGTGGGGATTGGCTCACTGGGGGTACGATATGGCTTTTGACCCATGGCCACTTGTTCATTTCACACGAAAACTCTCCGCGGCAAACTAGCCAGCAGCCGTGCCAACGAGTCGGCGTGCCAACTGGAGGCCAACAGCCTGACTAACCAGCAGTGGCGGGGATGCGTTTCCTTTGTCTACGCAGATTGTGCATGTGTATGTGTGTGTGTGCGTGACAGCGCGTTGCCTCACAGACAAGTCGTCTTGGGCCCACGTGTCCGACATCAAAGATGGTTTCTAGAAAAGGTGGCCGCAAGTGGCTCACGCTTTAGATTGCATTTCATTTGTTTCCCACCTTTCGGATCCTTTATGGTTTTTGGTGGCAGCTGGTTGGTTTGCAACCTGTGCAATTTCCTATGTCATGCTGTCCTTCACAGGCAACAGCTGCTCATTCTAACAGGGGCTACTTGAATGCTCGGCCAAGCTACAGTATTTTCCACTCTCATCAGCACAAGCTCCAAATGTGGCCCACATCCAGTGACTTTTGATGAATTTGACAGTCCTTTTTTTAAAGGGAAGTCAAAGGGGGTCCACCCGACCCAGGACACACCCATCCCAGCAGATCCTAGGCTTCCTTGTGGGAAATGCGTTGATACCGCCAAAGGAGTCACCAGGTCGAAGCAACATTTGGGAAACACCAAGAATTGGATCCCTTTGGTTTCGCTTTCCAGACCAAATTTACATCCTAAACCTCTCTTAGTGGGGCCTCGGCCTTGTTCTAGCGGAGAGCCCTACTGTTGTAGGCCATACTAAGTGAAGCCTTCGGCCTTAAAAAGTATGTTCCCAAACGAGGCCTACGCCTCAAAAAGTATGTGTGGCAATCTTGAGCAGCTTTGGGACCACATGTTTCTTGAAGGGTGTCAGTGTGTTGCTAGTGGGGCTAAGCCGGGCATGTTGGGACTTAGTTGCCGCATTGATGAGAAAGGCAGAACACGTACGTAAATAAAATAACAATATACGTGCATGCCAACACTAAACACCTAAAAGCTCCTCTGCAGAAGTATAGCTAGCCTTCGTTCAACCCAATGATTGATGCCGGGCAAGAACTGGTGCCAATTCAGCAACAATTATTTCGTTGCGCAGAAACAAATCCAGCGACGAAGGACACCAGCTGGACCGTGGACATCGCGTGGAAACCCGCGGGTAAGCCTGAAAAGTTGAAAAGACGTGGACACGCCTCGAAAAAGCGTGGGCATGCGTGGACCGCCCGGCCAAAAAGCGAGGATAGCACTGAACAACCACACTGGAACAACACGACAGACAAACTTTTCTTGGGCGCAGCTTTCCTGCAAGAGAGCAACATTAGTTTCACGAGAAAAAGTGCAAATTCACAGACACGTTCTGACATATTCAATGGGGGAAGCACAGGATCGTGACGCTAAAAAAGCTTGCTCAAAGCGACTCGCCCCTGAATATGCAGTGGTACTGAGAGCAAACGCGTAAACGATGCCTTATCAACCGAAACCAGCTGTAGGCAAGGTTGCATATACCATGATGCTCATTTCCGAAGGTGTTGCTAAACAAAGCGGGCATTATTAAGCAAAAGTGGTCCGGCGGGGGGGGGGGGGGGGTGCGGGGGGTAGGCTTTAAAACAAGGCATGGTTACTCAGCACATATACTGAGCATGATACTCAATGAGGCCTTGTGACCTTTTTAAGACTTCTCGTCAGAGGCCCGTCGTTGCAAGGCCTTTGGAATCTGAGAGAACATGGGTATCCCAAGCAAGACCTCCCAAGTGGATATTGCGCCAGAAATACAGGGTGATTTCCGTCTTCCAGGGTGGGCTCACCAACATTGCGGATACCTCCAATAAGGAAACTTACAAGTGGATTTCAACCGCGGTTGCCAACAGCTCACTTACTTCGCTGAACACTCAAGTCAGTAGTCCTGGCTCCTGGTTTCATAGGGGCTTGCTTTCCCTGATTTGGGCCGGGCCAAACATGTTTAGTGGCCCCAAATGGTGATTACCTTCGGAAAGCTATCCAGGACTACTTTCACGCCATCCGACCTCCCAAGCCAGGTAGAAGCTCTTGTTTTTGAGGGAGCTGACGAGTTCTCTTTCACTTGGCAAAGCCGCTGAATATGCGTACTTCCTTATATAAGGGTCATGACCCCTCCAATGCACACCCCCGCACCCTCCAATGGAGAACCCCGACTTTTCAGGGGCCAAAACCACCAGTTTTGAGGGCCCGAACACAAGCGAGAGGACTCATCTTTCAACACCAGAAGCAGTCCCAGGGCCCCTGTCAACTGACCAACTCACCCCAGCTCCTGGACTTGAGTCAGTTTTTGGGTTCGGACCATTTGCTCGGTTGTTCAGTGGCACCAATTATTTGTCCCTTTTTTTGGTGGCTGCCCACGAAAAAATGGTCTTCCCCTAAAAAGGGTTCCCCTTTTTTCCGGGGTCACTGAACAACTGAGTTTGGGTGGTAAAGAAAAAGTTGGGTGACCTTCTGTTTGCAACTCGATCGGAAGTATCCTGTTTCCCTTGTTTCACTTTAAAAAGAGCCCCCAAAAGGCGATCGTGTCAATGGAAAGCACCAGGAAATTCATATTGCAATTGTTGATTTGGGGGAGTCCATTGTCCCCTGGCACGACGGGGATCACTGGCGCACTACGGGGATGCAAGGCATGTTGATTGGGGGAACCAACGCATGTTTCAAAGGGTCAGATTTCAGGAAGTACGGCAAAACAGCTTATTTAGGGGTGCCTTGGGGTCGTGTCCTTTTTCTGTAAGTTCACCCTTTCTCTGAATGTCGGAACAACAAAAAAGCAAACCCAAAAAAAACAATCCATTGGCCTTTTGGTTTTTCTCGAGGTAGCGCCATGGGCGTAAGCGGGCGGGCTGCCCAGTGGTTGCACGCGCTGGCGCTGGGCGACACGCCTGGAGGAATGGCTTGAGTCTTCTTTGCTCGTTGAAGCCAAAACAAACGTTGGATGGGGTTTGTCATTACTATTATTATTATTATTATTATTATGATTAGCATACAATATATATATATATATGTAACAAAAGCACTAATGCATGGGATGGGGTGTGATTTTGTTTTGCTCTTTGGGGGGGTGTATGTCACTTCTGTTTTCCTTTGGGGGTGCGGTGGATGTGGTTTACGCTGTTTCTTTGGGGGGGGTAAGTTTGGTCAGAGTCGTTTTATTTTGGCTGCTTCTCTTTCCGTTTACTGGTTCCTCGGTTTTGAAGGCGATCGGTGGGATCTGGGGTTGCTGGGGGGGGCCTTATTTTTGGGGCTGGGTTACGCCCCCCCACCCCCCGGTTCGTTGCCCCGAAGATTGCATGATGCGCAGGAAAGCTTCGAAGAGATGCGGGATTCTTCAATGCGCGGCTGATGGCCTTGACCACCGGCCAGCAATGGCAGCTTGGATGCCATGTACCGTAAGCATAGGTGTCCTTTTTGGTTGGTTTGCTAAAAAAATAGAGGGTAGGTGGGGCTCATTACCCATTTACCAGGGAAACCCATCTATTTGTACAAAACGCCACCTATGACTGTAAGATGCTTTTTTGGTGGTACTCAATCATGAAGACTTTGTCTCATTCTTGTCCAAATTCGCGAGCTTCCCCCTAGCAGCCCCCAACTGATTTGTCCCATGTCCAACATCCCCAGTGGCCGAAAAGCAGTGGCTGGGGGATTCTGACCATTGGTCGGCTTGTCGTGTTGATCCCTTGCGGCCGATTGGAGTGCCAGTGCGTTAGGGGGGATTCCTCATCGGACCCGTGATCAATTTTGGTTGTCTCAATATGGGTCTGTTTTCTTTGAGGGTACCCTCTTTTTGGTGGTTTCAGGCCATACAATCCTGGGAGGTTAATTCCGACTTCCATCACCATGCGCACAAGTTCTTCGGTCTGGGTTGGAACGGTCACCGATTCAATCTGATGTGTCAAAAGAGGGTTCGGATTTTTTCAATTTGTGGTTTCCTGTTGGTTTCGTTGGCAAAGGGAAAAGGGGACCCTCAAAAAACACAGACATATTCCCTGGTGGTTTTTGTGCGGCAACCCATTATGGAGGGGATTTGGATCACTTTTGCCGGAAGAACCTCTAATATTCTGGAGATTCATGGATTCTGGCGTCAGCAAGCTGGCTCCAGCATCTTGGGGAGAAACGAAAGTGTGAACCATAGGTCTGTCAGAATAGGGGAACATGATATTGTCTTTCCTTTGTTTTCCCTTTACAACCCCAACCAGGGTCCCCAAAAGCTAGACACACCCATTTTTCCAGCAAGGGAGCCCTATTGCGAGTGGTCAAACCTACCTAATAACGTTTGTGAGTTCATGGGTGGGAAGTGGTGAAACAATATCCGCATTCAGCAGGTTCAGAAAAGGGACAATGGCAGAGTTGCCTCCTGAAACGCTTTTTGGAGAAAAACATCGGCCCTGCTTGGTCGTTGGCATCAATCTCGTAGACTGCGGGTCTCAACTAAGAAAACAAACGTCAGGGGTCTCCCACGTAATTGTTCCCTGAGCTTTCAGGGAACGCCTCACGCTGGATTCGCTGGAGCCAACGATTGCAAGTGGCGAACTGGATGGGCCAAAACCCTGCCTTGGCTCCGGCATGTGAGCAGCGGTTTTTAATCAAATGAAAGGGTTTATACAAAAAGGGAACTGCATGTACTTTGCGGAGGCAATCCTGGTTGGGGGCATAGGCTCGCGTAGGCTTCATCGCGTAGGCTGTTGTGTCACCCCTCGCGTAGGCTTTTCGCGTAGGCGTTTGTTGAACAAAACATGACTGTTTGCCACAATTTGCTTCTTTTGCCTTCCTTCTGTTTGTTCTGCAGTCTTCGCGTAGGCTCTGCGCAGGCCCCGCGTAGGCATTCGCGTAGGCTTTCAAGGCATTTTGGGTACGTAGACCTTTTCTAGCAGCCAGATCCTTGGACAGATGTGGGATTCTCACTTGTACTGCATTTCTGATCTTAGAGCCGGAGCTGCCAAAACTGCACTTGTACTGAAAAGTTGCGATTTTCCTGCCGCAGTGCACTTCGACACTTGAACTCAACATTTGCCCGCGTAGGCATCCGCGTAGGCACCTGGAAGCTGACTTGTGCGCGTAGGCACCCCTCGCAGGCCGCGTAGGCCTTCGCGTAGGCATGCAAGTAGTGTATAGGCCCCGAACCACCCAAAAAAACACTGCTCATGTGTAGGGGACCCCCCAAAATGGTTGGGGTTTCCTGTTGGTCCCCTTTAAAGCCAACCAAACACCGGCACACAATTTGGCGATGCCTCCATGTGCTTAAGAATAGTTGTATTTCCCTTGTTGGGCTTAAAAGGAGTTCATCACTACTGATTTGTTTCATTCTTTCCTGGAGCCTTAGCCAACTGGAAGGATGACTCTAAATGGATGGACAGTCTGAGAGGTGTAAAACAGCCCAAAACAGTCCGAGAAACTGGATGTGCTGAGAGGCGTGCGCCATAAAACCGCCCGAAACACCCCGTTTGCACGATCCCCCCGTTAAGGGACGCCAAGATCAATCCCTGGGAAGGCATCGCTGTCTCCATCTCTTCCAGCGACTTCCCACTGCCTCGCTGTCGGCGGCCGGAGCAGCGAATGAGGCCATGTGCCTGGCTTGGGATCTCCAGAACTGGTGGGGGGGGGCGCGGGGTCCTTGTTCGAGGGTTCCTGTTTTGGGGGATGTTTTAAAGGGAAACAAGAGGGAAACCACCCCTTTGGAACCAATCAAGTGTTTGTTCTTTTCGCTTCCCTTTCAACTAATCTGAAAAGAATGATCAGACAAAAACCCAGCGGAGTTGGGTACTTTGAGACAAATAGTACCAAGGAGCATCTTACAAAACTGCTGTTAGTTTATTGTGAGTTTGGGTGGCACGAGAAGAGGAGCTCCTCAAATCTTGAAACAACGACTACGGAGCTCGCACCAGTTTCCCGTTTCCTGTTGAAAACATGTTGTTTTATCCCAGGTTTAAGACTCAGAACGGTGTTGTGGCGTGGCCTTACTCCAAATTAAGTCATGATCATGGGAGCAGAATGTTCGTATTTCAGCCTCACTGGCACATGGGAACAGTGAGAAGTGTCAACATTGGAAGGGCAACCGGGTTGTCTTGGATGCCTTATAAGTTGCCCAGTGGTACCTAGTTTTCCTTTTTTTGGGAAGGGTTCCCCTTTAAAGTCAAACCAAAAAAGGTACTCTGTTGAAGCCTGAGCCGGATTTCTGGGACGCCATGATCTTGGGTGAGCCCTCGACCAAAGTTAAATCCATGAGGCTCTTTGGTTACCGCTCTAACTACCAAGGTTTCCACGCAAGACCGCAGATGGCCAGGGCTGAGGAAACTTTGCAGTTTATTGCCTCGGTGCCGCGCAACGTGTCTCAGGTAAGCTGGCTGGGTGTCACGCCAAAAATACCAACATTGGAACCCTTGATTGATCTCACTATCCAAAGTACACATCCGACAAACATTTCTTGTCCCTTTTAGGCGGGAACGCGATTGCCTGTTTTTGCTTGCGCATGCTGACCACATGCTCCTGCCAAATAGATTTAATTCATGCCTAGTCCTCCCCCTTAGTGGGACGGCCTGATTTTTGGCTTTGGCCAGGATGTGGGCTCCACTCACTCCAATTGGGGGGGGTGGGGTCTTGAGCAATGTGGCGGAACCAACCAAAAAAGGATGCCACTTTCTTCCCATGGCCACTGGGCATCTGAGATGCTCTTCGTTGCGTCAATACAGAGTTTAAGTTATTGCTTTTCCGTCGCCGGTGTAATTTTGTTACATCTAGTGCCTTCCACCGCCTACGATTTCCCATTCGGTTTCAAGATGTGTGTCCCCTTCCAGGTTGCTCCTTTGGCCGCCTGAAAAAAACGACCGGACGCGGGTTGGCGGTTGGCAAAGGCAATGTTTTTTGTTTTATGGTTTCCCTCCTGTTTTATGGTTTGTTTTTTGCAAAAGCTCGAAGCTTTGGGGTGATTTGGGGCTGTCGGGGAGGGCTCCGGGTTCAAGGGCTGCGGGGCATAGCACCTGACTTGGTTTCACTTGGGTTCCTTTGTTGCAAGAACCAATCAAGTGTGGCAAAGTGGGCTGCACGCTTTGGGGTCGGACCAACAGGGCGAGTTAAACCAAGACAGAACCCCACGCCTTTGGGTGGGAGGTCCTTCGCTCCAGACTTTTTTTGAGCCCAGGATCAACGCTGGGTTTTGGCGGAGGGCGCTCAACTTTGCGTCACAGGCGGTTTTCGGATGGGAAGAGCCACCCCATTGTCAGGAAACCCCCAGTTCGTGGCGTGCCTGAATCTTGTGGAGGGCAAATGGGAAGCCACCCCCTAACCAAGTGTTCGAACTAAGAGCGGAAATTAGAGACTAAGAGCAGAAGAGAGGGATACCAATATCTGAAAAGATGACACTAAGAGCGCAAAAAAAGAAGTAGTAACACAAGTATTACTACTACTACTACTACTACTCCTCCTACTACTACTACTACTGCTACCACTGTAGCAGTAGTAGTAGTACTAGTAGTGGTAGTAGTAGTAGTAGTAGTAGCAGTGGTGTAGTAGTAGTGGTAGGGGTAGTAGCCGTAGTAGTAGTAGTAGTAGTAGTAGTAGTAGTAGTAGTAGTAGCTCAGTTGTTCAAAGCCGACCTTTTGACCTTTTGGTTTCCAATTTTGGTCCATATTGAGTCATGGCCCCAAAAGGTTAACCTTTTAGTTCCAGGTCCTTTGGGCAAGTGAGGTAGTAGTAGTAGTAGTAGTAGTAGTAGTAGTAGTAGTAGTAGTAGTAGTAGTAGTAATAGTACTACTACTACTACTACTGCTACGACTGGTACTACTAGTACTACTACTACTACTAGTACTACTACTAGTAGTACTACAATTTTCCTTTGGTACTACGACCACTACTACTTCTACTTCCACTACTACTAAACTACTACTAGTATTACTTCTACCAGCGTGACCCCTGTTACTTCTAGATGAAACTATTTGAAACTATTATTTGAAACTAATTGAAACAAATTGAAACTATAGAGCAAGTTAATCATAATATCATCATAATGGGGTTCCACCTGCCTATTTCACGGTGGAGGCTGCTTGACTTCACTGAGGAGGAGGCTACAGGGCGTCCCGGACCAGGTTTTTTCAGGCTGACTGACTTGCCCGCGTGTCATTGTGTGTCCATGGACGCCAAATGACACAGCGTGATCCAGCGTGGATCAATGCGGATTGGCAGCCTGGTGATATCTGGTGATGTCCCACCTGGGTTCCGTGTTTTCAGTTTGGAGCGTCTTCTTTGCTCAGATTGGTAAATGGTTTCGGTTGTTTTGGTTCCAGGAAAAACCGCAAGCTTCAACTTGGACCTTTAGAATTACAAGCCGGGCATGTATGGATGGGTAATTACGTGTAATTACCTGTGTGACATCCAGCATCTTCCAGCCGTTCTTAGGGATCCTTCTGTCGAGATACCCGCTATGAGCCGCCCGAAGCCGGGGGAAAGGCCGCTGATGGCCGCTGTTGGTTTGACTGGAATTGTATATGGAATTGTGGTTGCAAAAAGTGTTCATGTTCGAGTTTGTTGCGAGGGTTCTCTTTTTAAGTTGGTCAAGACAAACGCCAATTTTGAATCTGCGGGGATCTGCAGGGCCCACATCCCAGGTTGAAACCAACCAAACCCCCTAGCGGGGCACATCGGGGCACACAATAATGAATTATATGAAATTGAATCAATTGCGCAAGGGAAAGCCGCAATCTGGCAACGGCTCTCGCGCCAAGGCGCCCTTTTTTTCGGATCCGGGTTCCCCCATCTCTTGTTCTGAACCTCCAAAAGTGGCAGTTTCAGGGGAAACCGCCATAAACCACCAGTCAATGGCAATTACTGGCAACTTTTCAAGGGTAAATCATGGGAAATCCATGGAAATCCAGTGACCCCTGTTACTTCAGGTTTCTAAATAATTGAAACTTTATGTTCTATATGGAACAATCAAAGCAAGTTAATATAAGTTAATCATAAAATAACATAATATCAGGAAGTTTGTGGCATCAGCAGAATGACTTCTTTGGGGATAGCTGATGAGGGGAAGCTGGTGGAAGCTGATAAGGGGAAGCTGGTTTTCTTCAGCACAGGCCTGCCAGGACTGGGTGTGTGCTTCACTTGAATTCACTTGAGCTTCAGTTGAGCATTTTTGGGGATTGAGATGGTGTGAGGGTAAGTGCGTGCGCACTCAGCTTTTTATGTGGCGAGATGTGGCAAGGGTCAGATTGGCATATCTGGTGAGGGGTCCTTGGGACGGATACTGGGTATCGTTATGTATCATTGGGCTTTCTGAGTGGGATACCCACGAACTGGGTGTGGGTGAAAGTTGAGGCTTAGGACATCTTAGAGAATTCAGGGAATCTCCATGAATCACAAAGAAATTCAGATATTCTCAGGGTATATCTCAGGGATTTTCAGGGATTCTCAGGGCGGGCAGAAGAGCATCCAGTGGAATGAGAAGCTTGGAAGCGGGAGGGCTGCGCGGCCCCGTGGACGTTGCTGATGCACCCGAGCTCACCCTGCAAGGGCGCCTGGCAGACGTGAATACTGGCGCATACTGGCGCGCCAGCTCGACGCTTCGTGCGGACCGGATCATGGATTACGAGTACGTCGAACCACGGGCTCAAGTGGCCACGTTCCCCAACAAGGGCCCGTCGAACAATTTCTATGATGAAAAATGATGAGCTGACCTGGGCTACTGCTTACCCCAACCAAAATTATGCTCTGATTCGGGCCCCATGCTATCCCAAGCTTCGTGATCTGGGCCATTCTGGGCCACTCGCAGTTCAGAAGTATTCAGAATGAGCTCCCAGGAATTCCCAGGAGTTTCACGCGTTCTCCCAAACTCAGGCAACTTGATTTCGGTGCGGCTGAGTTTCGGCACCAGGTTCGATTATGACATATTATGAATTCTTGTGACTCTTGGCTGGGGGATACTGGGGGCTTACTTCGTGGCGGGTAAACGTGGAACTAAAATCTGTTAAATCTCCTCTTGTGCAAATCTATGGAAATCTCCGCCTTGAGCATCATTTTAAGTTGTGGGGGGCTACGGCGTTTCTTTGGCGAGCAGCGAACCGGTATTCACCAGTAGCCCCAAATCAATCCCACAAAGTGGATCAAAGTGGGGGGGGGGTATGGGGGGGTGCTTGCAGGCTCCCAAAATTGTTGTTTTGGCAGCCCCCAGAGACGTTCAGATACGTCAACACGAAACCAATTTAACCCAACACAGCTCTCAAAACAAAAACCTGCAATTCAAAATTGTCCCCAGCAATACTGCCCCATGATATCCAATCAAATCCAATCAATATCAATCAATCATCACTGAGGGATATTGAATGATGTTGAGGGACCTATGAGGATCTGATTGTTTCGGGGGGGTCCAATGCAGTCCAGTTTTTCAGAGGTCACATGAGTTTCACCACATTTCACCACAACATACCACAACCCAATTATACCCAATTCCTAAACACATCTAAATACATCCTCAAAACTACGTAGACCGTCGGAGAAATTTGGAGACATGCGACGGAGAGGAGCCAGGCGCAGGGCCACGCAGGGCCTTAAGACATCTTAAGACGCCAACTGAAATGAATTGAAATACTTTCGGGCGTTCGCAAAATTGCTGTTGTGGATTTTTGAGGAAAATTGGGAGGGTGTGAAATGTGAGATATTGTGAGGGTGTGAATATGTGTGAAATTGTGTGAATATCGGGCTCTTTGTTTTCAAATGGGCCTTGCCACAGATTTCAAAATGCATCCGATTGCATCCGATTCACATAATATATTTCTAGCCTTCCATGGGCACGTATGGCAAGGGCTGGGGGGCGTGAAGAGATGTCAACAGGGCATAACAGGGTCCTAGCTTGCCGGCTTCCTTTTAACCCAAAACAACGGGGCCTCTTCACCAAACCAAAGTCTAAACCCAGCAGACAGGTTCTCCATGAGGTCTTTGGCTAGCAGGGGAGCATAGGGAGCATTCCATCAGGGAAATATAGGGAAATATTTGTTCACCACAGTTGTCAAAGCAGGGGCTATTTTGGAGGAGCCCCCCCCCCGTTGGACCATACTAATTATAGAGGAAATAGAGGAACCCGTACTATAAACATTTCCGTATTAAAAAGGGGGCCACCCTGATTAGCACGGTCCTCCGAAAAAATGTTTTTCCCACGCTTTCGTGGCGCGAGAGCATTCTGTAACGTTATGTAACGTTGCTCAGCTTCCTTTGATCAGGGAATACCAGGGATTTCTCGATTCGGTACATAGCCGCCCGGCACTCGTTGATCTTGTGGGTATTCCATCCTTTTAGTATCTTTTGGTCACCACATGTGGCCACTTTTAGTCAGGGTTCCAAACGGCTATTAGCGTCACTTTGAGCTGGCAAGCAGAGTTCATCAGAGTTCCCGCCCTTTGGGGCAGTTTCAGCATGTTTTAATAGGTTTGAGCTGTCAACGTGAGGGCGTGTGAGGAGTTGTGAGGACGCCCAATGCATCCCAATGCTCCCGGCCGCAGTTGACGATTCTGCGCCACATCATCGAGCTATATCGAGCTCATTTTCAGTGAGCCTGCCACTATTTGCCGGCGTGAAACTTGCCCCTGGCACTGGAACCGGGCATGTTATGAGTTGGAAATAGTTAGAACCAGGCCGGAGGAATCCGGAATGATCCGGAGGATGTCTTGATGAAATCTTAATGTCTTGAGGCTGTTTTCATGTGTTTTCAACTGGCATGGGACGTTTTGAGCTGGTTTGATTAAGTTACCGTCGATCTCGCGTTGATTGATCGGTTCGTGTACTAAGTCGAGCTTGTGGGGGCCGGGGATGGCCGGGGCATATCGGGGCATCCGCGGTGCGAAACAAGTCATCGCTTCAGACGTGGTCCCACTATCCAGATCTACCCAGCCTAATTTGGTTCTCCCAAAGCGCATCAATATATAGCAATATATCGAATTCGATCAAATATCTTTATGGCCGCCCTGTGCCTGTTGACCTCGTGGATCCCTGCAATATCTTTGGGCACCACATGTCCACGCGGTGATTCCAAGGCTGTGCGGAACACAGTTGCGCAAAAACATGGGGTGTTCGATTCCCCCCTTTTGCATCCTTAGCACCTCCTGGGCAACATCGCCAGCATCACCTGCATCATCCGCATCAGCGCCTGCCAAGGATGCGGATGATGCACACACACACACACATGCGTGCCTACATATAC